TGATGGGCTCCTGCCTTCCTGAGACAGCCTGCAGGGAACGAGCGCCAGGAATCAGCAGAGGGCACCGGGCAGGGACGGCAGGAATAGATGTAGTGCCAGTAACTCCTGACAGGAATTAGCGGTCTGGGCAGCTGCGAGGAGAGTGCTCTCAGTGTGAAATTCATTTCAGGAGGTCAGGGTGAGCTCAGTTTCAAGAGGGGAGTCTTAGCAATGGCTTAGAGAGAATTCCTTTCCGGGGAGCTGGGAAGGTTGTGGACAGTGCCTTGGCTCTGTGAGTACGTGCACACACACCGCATTGCCGCCCCGACCCTGCTTCTGAGCCGAGGAGCTTCAGAAGCTGCTCCCGAGCCAGCGCTGCTGGAACCTTCCACGGCACCAAGCGGGGAGAAGGTGGCAGCTGGCACGAAGGGGACTGTGGCCAGTTTCTCCCGCTCAGGACGGCCCTGCTCCCAACGCCCCGTCCCATCCCGCAGGGATAGAGCAGCAGGATGCGCTTGGAGCGGAGCGTGAACACGCGCGCCTGGCACAGGGAGCTCCCTCGCGCGCCGGGAGCGTCACGCAGCTGAACGTCTCCATGGGCTGGCAGTCCTGGTGCTTTGGCTTCTGGATGTTTCTCTAGGCTAGGAGAGGCAAATTGCAGTTATTTCTGTGGCATCTGCATTATTTTTAATTCCTGTCATTCAGAAACAAATTTAAGCAAGCTGCTATCAACTCTCCCTGGTAGCTGTGGTTATGCAAAGATGCAGATATGTGGTGCAGTCCCATATATGAAGTAATTGTCCCATACTAAATGTACCCACATTTTAGGGGTTGTACTGATTTAATTATGTTAGAATTAAAAAAAAAATCATAATTAGTGTTGCTAAATATTACAAAGGCTGTAGTTAGACCACTCCAAACTATCTCCCCTTTTCTCCTCTCCTCTTCCACCAACAAGAGTTGAGTTATGGTCTGTTTAAAGCTCCGCTACTAGCCAAACTGTACAATTCAGATGAGATGTAATTCTTTTGCTACAGGACTGTCAAATATGTGATTTATGTAAATAAAAAGCTGAAGTGGCAATACTGAGGCCTGGACAAGCCTTGATTTAAGCCTCGATTGCCACAAGGTGGCACTGAACGCCCAGGAGCGGTCCCGGTTCCCCAGAGGAACCGCGTGTCTCCGGCTATCCCGGATCCTGCAGTCACGGTCTGACGATGCCAGAGCGCAGGGGCACGGGCAGAGACCAGCCACATACACCATTTGTAGCACACAGGACTGCTTAGGTACAAACCACGCTGCCATCTGCCCTGCTGTCCACCATGTGATGTCAATTGTCTTGACATCTTGGATGAGGTGATGGAGGAGCTACATGCAGAAATGAAGCACAGTGGTCATGCCACTAAACCTTTGCAGTTTCACCTTGTGTACCTTGCAGTAAGTACAGGGGCTACAGAGAAAACACCACACTACAGTAACATGTAGTTAGCTCAGACGGCAACAAAGTGTTACCACAAGCATTATATCTGGAACACTATGGCAATGCCTCTTCTATATACATTATTTTTAAATGTAAGCCTAAAATAATGAGCAGTTTTCAAAGAGCCAAGATTTGTTTTAAAAGATTTGAAGGTTTTAGCACAAGTGTCTATTATTGCCTTCATTTCTAGGCCCATTATAAGTTTCAAAATAAAAAGACGCCATGAAGCAATACTAACTCAAATGCATGCGCTTTTGATTTCAAAATAAGAGGCAAAACTACACCATGCACAGTACAACCGACACTTTATTCCTTTGTGATGGGGATATATAGTATTGAAACTGCAAGAGTCACAGACAAATCAAAGTGCAATTATCTAATAGAACAGATTATGGAATGTACTGATGTTTTTTGGCACAAAAAGTGGGCAACTACATACTATAACAAGATTTTAAGTTTAATGAAATCTAACACTTCTGTTTTCAGTAGTCATATTTGTGCACTGCAGAACAATACAATGTAAAACGGTGACTAACACTATTCACATGCAACTCAATACAAGTTACATCATACGTCCAGTTAAAACTTTTCTGAAAATACAAGTGAGATCCAATGATACTTTGTTCACAATCACTTGATAAATACTACCCTTCTAACAGTCTTATCTTTTTAGCTCCCTTTTTAATGAAAATAAAAATAGAGAATCTTAAATAGCAAATTATTTTTCCCCAAACAGTACCATGTGAATTTGATGTTTTTTATCAAAGTAATTTGGCTCTAACTGCATTGATATAGTGTTTAGGCCGCTGAATAAAATCAACTCCCCTTTTTTTCATATTTCATTCCCAATTTACTGTGAACAAACAAAAAAAGCAGGTTCATTGTTCTACATTTCACTGACTTTTATTTTTAAAACTGGACATAGTGTTGCA